CGGAAATCCGAAAGCCAAAGTCGGCGGCTCTAACTTAGGAAACGCAAAGCCAAAGCCGAACCCATCAATTGAAATTCGCAAGTCCATAATCGTAGACGTAGCCGTAATGCACAACGCTGTTTTGCCAACTCGAAACCCCTTTTCACGTTTGCTGAGACAGCATGAAATCAAGGGCGGCGACACCGTGGAGGGCATGGAGGCATGCGCGCCACAGCTTTGAGACGTTGAGTACTGTTCTCCACATTTTTAGAGACCCGGAAATATGAAACGCATGTGGAGGTGTTCTAGTGGAGAGAGCAAAGAAGCAACGCCAATGAAATAGCACACGAAGTATTCACGGACAAATTATCTCATAAGGAAGCTTCTGGCACTGTAAACGGCAGCGTGCGCGCTCGTCACTTTGATTGATCAACGCGTTTCCCACGTTTCTCGGTCGTTGTTCCGCAGGGGTAAAACTTGGCATTTCTCTGCGAATGTTGAACCGGCCCATCCATCTGTGTTGGGCTGACCCGTGCACTGTGAAACTTCGCCCTCAATGCTCCATCAACCCTTTAACGCTCGTCCTGAATCGCCTTTTCATAACACGGACCGATGGAAGGGGCGGGGGTTGATGTGACCTCTCCTCTGCCGTTTCCAAACTAACGAATCTAAGGGAAATAGGTACCCCACGAAACATAAACCTGTTGATTGTTCTGAACCAGATCTCACTATTGATAATAGGTTGTGCGTTGCTAGATCAATACTTGACCCCATGTTGTCAGCTCAAAGGTCAAGTTGTCAGGCAAATCGCACTATTTCAGTTTCACATGTCAATATTTACGAAACCATACCACGCAGCAACAGGAAACCTACACGGCCATCTTCCTTGTGCCATTCTGAGCACATTTAGATCTAATTTTGTGTGGCTTGAGCGTGTGAGGTTCGCTGTGGTGCAAAACGCCACGTATATTTTACGTGAGTGACATTTGTTTGCAACGTATATTGGCCAACGCACCGTTGAAAACGTTTACGTGGAAATTGCCAGGGGTGTTTTTAAAAGTCGTCATTTTGTAATTTAGTGTTGGCAACATCAGTGCCAAATCGATTGTTGCATTTTATGTTTGTCGTGGCATATTTTTGCTCTGTTTATTGAGACCATGATTGTCGTCAATTTTTCAAAACAATTGGGGGGGGGGGGGGGGGGCAGAGCCGCGAGCACTGGCGAAAGATGATAGGTTGAAAGCTTGCCAGTTACATCAAATTTTGCTGTGGTCTGCCATCGTGTCTCCGTGACTCCGTGTGCCTGAAGTTGTTCAGGAAAAAGTACGTAGGGTATACAATTCGTAAGTTCAAAAGTTCGTGATATAAACAGCTCGTACAAGATAAGTTTAATGCAGTAAACACGTCCGTTAGGACGTTTTACGAAAGCTCATCAGCTTATAACGAAAATGTTTGCACGCGCAGCAGTTCGTTTGGAAAGGGTCATACGGAATTTTACGCAGATAAATGTTCGTCACGTAAAAAGTTTGCCTGACAAAAGTACATACACAAAACTTTACATGTACTTTTGCGCGGAAAGCAGAGTCAAGAGAAAAAATGGCACCAGCTGTACCCGTTTTATTGCACACACTTTGAGAAGGGCACACATCCACATACGAACGCGCCAGTGACCGTGCACGGAGAACGCGACTATTTGAACGATAAAATGCGCGCATGCTGTATACAGTGTGTTGCGGTATAAGGTTATTAACAACTTGGTTACAAAACACTTGCCCGGGGATCACACGCCGATGGAAAAACGCTGCGATGCACTCACCCCACAGTCTTGAGGAGTGCGTAGAAACTCTCTCCTCCGCACATAAAAACCTCCCCAGCACATCACATCACCCATCACGCACACCAGCAACGCATCAAAGCTCGTCGCAAGATCGCTGGCGTTGCACCGCCATCTGTCGCTGCAGTGCTCGCGCCCGGCTCGCTGCACGGCTTCCGTTCAGTTTTCTTCAGAACGGTACGTGCGGTCCTCAGAGGGTGCCAGGCGCAGCCCCCTTCAGAGCGGCCGAGCCAAGGGTCCCGCCGGCTGACTGCGTCCGGAGGTAATACGGCGGGAACGGGTACGGGTACGGTCGCAACGGTGGGAACGGGTACGGCGGGTACGGGTACGGCGGGAACGGGTACGGCGGGAACGGGTGCGGTCGGAACGGTGGGAACGGATACGGTCGGAACGGTGGGTACGGGTATGGGAACGGGAACGGCCGGTACGGAGGGAACGGCGGGAAGCCGTGTCTTGACGGGTGGTGCTGGCCGGACCCGATGACAGCGGGGTGGGCGGCTCGGCCAGACACTTCACTGTTCGGCTGGTCGGCGCAGACGGCGGCCGCCGTCAGCAGGACCAGCAGGATCAGCCTCATCATGGCGCAGGGCCGGGGCACGAGGGCTTCCGCCTGCCGGCCGCGGAGAGCGACGGCGAAGGGACTCGACGGGCTCGGGCGTCCGTTCGTCCAGGCTGACACAGGACCGTCCCGCGGCGTCCTCCGCTCCCGGTGCCCAACAGCACGGACAGACTCAGTGGCCGGCCTTTATATTCGACAAAACCGGATTCCCAGTGGCGCGGTCAGCACACGGACCAGGCTCTGGGGGCGACCGCTGACTTATCTGGTAAAAAGGATTTCTGCTAAGGTCGATGCAATTTTGCAGGAGATAAGTCACCTACGTATGCAGTTTTCCACACGCAGTCGTCCTGATCCTGATGTCTCCTTATCAAACTGTGAGTTTTTACACCAATTTATTGGCATCACAGGACGGGCTTAGGCGAGCTGTCTACGGAGGCTTTCCGATAGGATCCTATCAAAAACTTCCCTGACTAAGAATTGGCGTAGAACAGCACACCGTAGTTTGGCATCTAGGGGAGTGTGTATGTGGATGCCAACTGCATTTTCATTGAGCATCAAGTGGTGCATATAAGGAATACAGCTATCTTCCATCCCATCACGAGCGTCTTCGCGTCTCCCATGACGTCTTTCCGAGTGCCCTCGCGTCTCCCAAGACGTCAAGCTCCGGCATGCCAGCCCGACTGACAAGGCATCTGCCCACAGACAAGGCCTTGCTCACCTCCGCCGCGTGCCCGACCGGCGCGATTACTGCGTGATTCACCGAGCACTGAGCACCTGCAGGCCCCGAACCCTCCTCACCGCTCGGCACGCTCGGAGCAGGCCGCTGCCGCGCTGCAGGCTGCGGCGTCACCGCCTCAGCCTTCAGGAGCCGGAAGCGCCGCCGACCGCAGATAACGCCAGCTGCTGACCGTGACGTCAGTCTTCCGTGCATTACTGCGCCGTTCGGCGGAGCACAGGCCGCGCCGTGGCGTCGGTTGTAAACTTAGTGCCGTGGTTAACACCCTGCATTCAATCACGTCATATTGTTTTGTGGCGTTATGTATTTCAATCATGTGCGCGCGAAAACAGTTTGAAATGCCGTTAAACGTAGCGGCTTACTTACGAAGTTGGTTTTTACACTATTGCCTAAGTATGAAAACCAAGCACCAAATCCGACTTTGCTTAGTCACTACGGAAGGTACTCACATCGTCATACGTTCAATATGTCTGCTCATCGGTGTCTATGTCTGTCATCTATGTCTGCCCTTTATCGGTCGGCCAGTGCAAACGTCCGCGTGTACCAGGCAAATACCTGCTGGTTCGCGTTCGTCTTCTTAGCGGTTGGCCTTGGCATGCAGGGGACATAACACGGTGATTAACCGAGTGTTTCTGCGGCTGTGTGAAAGCTTTTCCAACGACCGGGCCGGGCACTAACACGATGCAGAGCCTAGCATGGCCCGTAAAGCGCAGCGTTTTCGACGCCTCTCCGCGATCCGGAAGCGGCCACGGCCCGCCTGGGCTCTGCCGCCGTGCACTACGTCCGGTTTGCGAGTGCGGTGCGGGGCGCCGAAGGCCAGTGCCGGCCGACCCGCCTCCGGCCGCGGTCATGGCCAGCCACCGGTGCGCCGCCGCCTCTCTGCTGCTCGCGTCACTGCTGAGCGGCGTCCGCAGCACCCCGCCGCAGGCCGCGTGCTTCCTGCCCAGGGCGCGCGGCGTCTGTCATGACTTCACCCGCGCGTGGCACTTCGACTCGGAGCAGGGCGACTGCGCATCGTTCTGGTTCGGCGGTTGTGGCGGCAACGCCAACAACTTCGCGTCGGCGGCGGCGTGCCGCGCCGTGTGCGTGGAACCGGGCGCCGGCTCGTGCCTCCAGCCGGCCGTGCGCGGGCCCTGCACCGACGCTGCCATGCTCTGGGCCTTCGACGCGGCCGCCGGCGGCTGCACGCCGTTCGTCTATGGCGGCTGCTACGGCACCAGCAACCGCTTCGCCACGCGCGGCGCGTGCGAGGCGCGATGCCTATCCTCGCCGACCCGCTGCCGGCAGCCGGAGCGCGAGCGCGGTCCGTGCCAGCACGACCAGGCGCGGTACTCGTACGTGCAGGCGAGCGCGCGGTGCGAACGGTTTGTGTACGGCGGCTGCGGTGGCAGCGCAAACAACTTCGCCACACTTGAGCGGTGTCAGAAACAATGTGGAGGCGCCTCCGCGAAGAGCGGAGACACGCCGGTGGAGAAGGAGGGGCAGGGAGAACTGGGGGAAACGACCCAGGCTCCCTTGGGAGTGGAAGAAGGAACTGAAGTGCAGGACAGTGTTCCAACGACCGCACAAACCGCAGCTGCAGCAGACATCTGCGCGCTGAGGCGAGACCCAGGCCGCTGCTTTGCCTACGCGCCCATGTTCTACTTCGATCCCGTGACCGGCAGCTGTCACCTGTTCAGCTACCGCGGCTGCGGCGGTAACTCCAATCGGTTTCACACCCGTCAGGAGTGCGAGATTCGCTGTCTCCAGCCTCGCGGTGGGGCAGATGCGGAAGCAGACGCTGCTGACGCCACGGTCAACACAACCGTGGTGGAGATCAGTCTCAGCAGCGAGGAACTAAATGAGACCATCGCAGAAGTGAACAGCACGGGAACCAGCTCCTATCACAGCATAGCGCTGAATATCAATGATTCACGGCAAAATGAGCTACTTCCAGCAACAAACGCTGTCGAAACTACGACAAGCACCTATAGCCAGCAGCCAAAGACAACCCCGCTCGTTGTGAAGAAGAGGCATCGCGGCGGCGGTCGAGGTCGGAGACGTGCGTGCCGACTTCCCCACCGCCAAGGCCGATGCCGCCTCTACCTGCCGCGGTTCTACTACAACGCGGCGCTGGGTGCTTGCTACACCTTCATCTTCGGCGGCTGCGGAGGCAACGGCAATCGGTTCCGAACACGAGCCGCCTGCGAGCATCTGCAAGGGCGTGAAGGCACGGCCGTGAAGCCGTGGTCTGGCGAGAACTCGGCTAGTCACGGCAGCACGCGCACCGACTCTGGCTTTGTGGTCGGCGGCAGCATGCGCGCGGACTCTGGCTTTGTGGTCCGCGGCAAAGGCGAGGAAACGAGGAGAGTAGGGGGCAGTGGCTCTCGCTCTCCGTGTATATTCTCCACGCAAAAGTCAGGCATTAATGTCACGCTGATGCAAAGGTGTTTGGGGATGCGCTCTCTCTGACGTCCTACACTCCCCGATTTTGTCAGACATGTGTAAGAGGGAAACGGAGTGGTCACGGATATACCACGTCTTTTTAGAATACGCGCTTATACCGAATGTTATTGATTTGCCTTCTGGTTGCGGTTCGTAGTGTTAAGTAAATATACGCCAACATAAAAGTAAGACGGATTTTGTCTGCACGGAATGTACTGACAAAATTTTAGATATTTGTTGATGATGTCGGAAAAGTCGATTTGTCGTCGACTTGTATCTTACGTCACTAAAAACCATGTCAATGAAACTAGATACAATTTAGAAAAGGGTACCTGTCAGTCTTAGCCAATGAGTCAGACGTACCGATCTGCTCCAAATGCGCCGAGTTTCTCAACCATATCAAAAGCGCTGAATACGTTAAATTCGTGCCTACGATGTGTAAAATCCATAGGATGTGCTGAATATGTTAAGCTATGTCAGATCCGGAGTCAAATATACCGTTATCGGGTTTTGAGGGCGTGCCAACGGCAAAGGCCATTTGCGCTGCAGTTAGATTATTTGATGTTGATATTTTGGATCAGGGGCACATCGACTGCCAGAAGTCATCGTTAATGCATGCGTTATTGTTAAATGCGTTAAAAATATTGAATGACTATTCTGCTGAGCCTGGTGAATATATGGAATGTCTTAAAAAGATAATAATAAAAGGGTCAAAAGTAGCTAAAAATATACACATGCAAACAGCGACATAACAAAGGGTTGGTCCCATGTCCCCCATTCACCCCCTGGAGGTGGCAAGGGCCCTGTGGTTCCGAAGGCTCCAATGTTTTTTAGCAGTTTCAGAGGCCTAGAGGGCTTCTATGACGTCATAAATCGGTGCTCGAGACATCAAAATGGGATCTCGGGCCTAAAAATCTTCTAAAAATCCCCCAAAAAGGGCCTCGGTAACGACGAAGTGAGGACCCCTTGGCTGAAAGGGTCCTCACCATACGCATGCATCGATTTAGACCCTACCTTGGCAAAATACTGGCTACACCACTGTGTGTAAATATGTCTTTCAGAAAAAAATGAAAAGGTGCCCGCCCCACCTGTACATAGGCGTAGAGACGTTTTATAACGTGGAGGAGGAGCAGACTCGGGATGAACTTAAGAAAGTTTTCCTGGAAGGCAAGCCCGGCGACCGTTGGGGGGGGGGGGGAGATGGATGACTTTGCCCGCTCTGAATTCACATTAAGTAAATTGGTACATTTTGGTACATGTTACATCTTGATACACAAAGTACATTTGAGAAATAACCAAATGTCTGGGCTGCTTTGCTAGATATACGTAAACAGCTGTTTCCCACTAGTCCATAGTCTTACCTGCTGAACTCAGGGATGTCATTGGTCAAACAAGACTGCCTAGCTTCCTAAAATTATTCTTCCGTTTCAACCCTGTCTCTCCTGGGGAGGCGGGACTTCACAAACGGGTGGCCATTTGTGGTCAATGGGGAGGCATCTGCCTCCACACTTAAGGTCCCACCATGAGATCTTGGCAGGGGCTGTCCAGAATTTCTCATTCAAATTAATGGCCCACAGCGCGCCAAATTTTTCGTGGTCCTGGATTTCGCTCAGTGCTTTTCAATATTAAAGTGTCTGTTGCAACATTTAAGACAGAAACAGATTCGGAAGGTCCAAATACATTTTACTAAACAATGTAGCAAAAGCTACAAAACAGATTTTCGTGTAAAACGTATCTTCGTGAAAAAAGACCAAGTTATAGTTCTGTGACGCCTTCATTCTTATGTCGACGCCCCTTTCAAATATGCCTTCTTCTGAACGCCTTACTTCTGAATAAGGTACTTCGTCCGGATATTCCTTGTCTAATGCCTGAGCCATGCTCCCATTCGCTGTCAGCGGCCACTGTCCCAGACCAACTTTCCGCGCATTTCTGTCTCCGAGCTGATATATGACTGCTTTTTTGCGCGCTTATGGATCTTGCGCGCGCGCATCTTTACTTATTGGCGCGAAAAGCAGATAGGACGCCTACCACAGTATCTATTTCCACATTATCTTCCTTTCACCACAGCGTGAAATAAGCCCTTGGAAAACTATCTGCATTAGGCACGAAATCGTCCATCGGACATTCATTTACCACTGCTTCGAAGTACTCGACTTGATCTACTTTTGCATGTAAGACGGAGATATACATTTTCTTTAGGAAAGTTGTATATCCTTCTCTGTCTTGGAGCGTAAGCGTTAACACGCGCTCGGGTGGGAGTGGGGGTCGCATTGACCCTCCTCAGGTGTTTTTCCAGAATGATTTCCGAACGGCCCTGTGTAGTCGCGCCAAATTTTGCTTAACTATAGGGGATCGTGTGGTGTTAAAAATGTATCTGTACATTGTAAGGTCGCTGACATATGGCAGGTCAAAGTCAGACCATGGATTCTGCGGAGTCCATTTCAGGGAATCGCTCAATCTGATGCAACAACGAAGTGTTAGACAAATCCATACATCTCCGACATACTTTTTGAGGCAACACAACAACTTGATGTGATCATCATTTTTAGCTCATTTGCCTCAAAAATATAGATTTGTACATATGCACATGTATACACAGCCATATATATATATATATATATATATATATATATATATATTTATGTATGATGGATATTGATTCCTTTAACTGATTGGGGAAGGCAAAATTTGGTAAGGATGCTTTCATGTAGTGTGGTGGCTAATGCCAATAACCATGAAGCATTCCCGGCGCTCTTACGCGTGGCCTATATCAGGTCGTTCCAGTTCAACTCTGTGTGTGCTTTTTTAACATCACACCGGCTTGCAAACACCTGCTGTTTCGCATGCGATCTGGAGGCCTCTCAACTAGATTACAGATACGGAACGCTTGTTTAGGAAACACCTTGTTTCTGAGGTCATTATAGGCTAACATGATACCTTTATCGGTGCACCTTCTGAGATCACCGCATGATTTCAGGACAGTCATACAGTGCATTGCTTATCCCCCGGGAGCGTCATCTAGGTTTGTTTATCACCCAACTTTTACCTCTTCGACCTTGTAATATAGTTAGCTTAGCAAGATGAAAACACTAGCGATATTTAACATGCGGCTCAATTTTAAGCCAAACATGCATAACAATGTGCATGGGCGCATGACACGGCCGAAGCATTAATTGCAGTGACCTTAACGTGGTCTATTTTTTCCGCACCCATCGCCTATTTACAAGGTGCTCAGGAGTATCCACCTCTGTCTACTACGGGACACAAAACCTTACGTTAATACCGGCATTAGTAAACGAAATGCTGAACACCGCGGCACTCCCAGCTAATAAATGTGCAACCCACTAAACAAAACAAGAAATCATGCATAGCCAAATGAGTAAGTAACCCAATAAGTAAGTAAGTAACAATGAGTAAGTAATCATTAATGCTGTCCTGATAGTACTGATGCCTATAAAATCGACCAGTGCATCCTAACCAGGGCAGTCAGCAATCAGTTATCAAACCAGCGCTAAATTGTTGGCCCTGTGATCTGCACGAGTGGATATAAATAACAAGTGATCGCATATTGAAAAACTCAAATTATATGGTCAGTGAGTTTATCAGTTACATTGATGCCATTGTGTTTATATTTCATCATGAGTTATACAGATGAGAATTGCACGGTTGATGAAAACAAAATTTGGGGTCAGTATCGTCAAATTGGAAGCTATCGGCTGCAATTTCAATAAGCGAAATCGGTACTTTAGTACCAGAATAAAGCAAATCTTTGGGGCAAAGAGTAATCTTCTCTCTCAGTGCGTCGTGGGGGGCTAAGTGACAGGATAAGAGGCAACCTGGAGGTCAGGGCGTTGGAAAAACTCAGAGATTCCCACAGGGACAGACTTAACGTGATAAACCATCAGACTTAGCTGAAATTTCATCCTTACATGTTCTACTACGCTATGTAAGTCGACTGGCCAGTAATCCGTTATTGGAAGTTCAGGCGGAACACATCTCTCCACTCCGTCATCCCCACTTCACGTGTCATTCATCCGAAATAACCTCGCGTGCTGATGCACGTCACGCGTACCTTTGGCGGTACAAGCCCAACACTGTCCGTAAAAACGCATCAGATGTCGCTGCTCACACCAACCTTCCATGCAAAATGAACGAGGCAATCCACGACTACGTTGTGGCAACGCTATCCAATTAGCAACCACACATACACGATGCGGTGGCCAGTACCGGCTCAGGAGCCCTGTAGCGCGAAGGTGAGTGAACACTGCTTCGGCTGCGAAGCGCTTCCTTTTTGAAGTGTAGTGTATTTATTTAATTCTTGTTTGTTATAACTTCTCTGGGGTTCCTTACCACCCGAAGCCAGTGACCAGCGTGGTCATTTGCACCACTGTATCAAAAGCTGCATAAAAATGTAATGAAAGCAAAACAATTGTTTAAAACTATAAGCGCTAATATATTCATGTTCGGTGCAGAATTGAGGTCGTCAACTCCAACATTAAAGCTCGCGGAAAACCTTTCTCGCTTTTCTTGCCAAAGGGCATTTAGGGGATTAGACGGGCATCGGATCACATGCATATGGCTCATTATAACGAACACAAAATAAGAATGCATCCCACATGAAACAAGGTACTTGCAACATGAAGAAATATTAAATTGAGATGAAGGCGTTTTTCAATGAGTTCTTTTTCCACACACGAGCATTTCTAACTCTATGAGGGACCTGCCCATCTGACCCACTGAATGTTGACTGCCATTGAATTACTGCTGACTAGATGTGATCAACTTTTCTTGGCTATTACGTTCATGTCAGCAGTCGCAGCGATGACGCCGCTGATCTGCTGGCATAATGCATGTGCTGATTCCCGTGAAATAAGAAGCGGTATTAAGCTCGATGGGATCGAGTCTCCAAGCAAGTTAGTTCGAGCCTCCAAACCGCTGCGGAGTTGATGACCATGAACAAATGTAGGCCCAGCCTGGCATGAGCCTGGATGCTCTAACATTGCAGGCATTGCTAATTTGTGACTGACACGTGCATATATATCGCCGTGGCTTGCGCTGTGTCGAAAACTCTCGGGGCAAACCGTTGGAAGACGTACCTATAGACGTAGAAACAAAATTTGCAGACACTAATTTTAAAGTTACTGTCTAAACTTGATTATATGTGCTGGTGTCCGTTTCCTTCTGAATTGGTTAGTTGAATCTACCCGCATATTTAAAGCTGTCGATAATGTAGAAATTAGATGAAGTGCCACAACGAAAAAGGTCGCTGACTTTTTTGCACTCTTGGGAAACAACAGTCGAAGAGTCTAAGAAAATGTTCTGCGCTAATTCATCTTCAGGTGCACAGGGATCCGTGCACCATGCACCGTGCACCGTTCCGTTCCGTGCAACACAGGTGTTCCGTAATTTTTTATTGCGCTACTCATTGGGCGCGTATCGGGTGAAGAAGAGACTGCACTTTTGAAGGTCAGGCATCAGGGAAGCGTATTCATAATTGTTTCGTCACACATGCAAAGAACACAATTTAAAGCTGAATGACTCACAACAGCGGAAGCTTTCTTTTACATCACACGTGTAAAAATGCATATTTTGCATTCATTTCAAGAAATTCCTCCATTGCAAGACTTCGATCTCAATGCCGCAACATTTCTCCCGATCCTGTTTTCCGCATGGTTTCTATGTCTAGTCTGGTACTTGCGTTGCAGTCCGCTATTTGGAACTCAAGCTGGGTGTCAGTGTACTTAAGTACTTCCCCTTGTCTCATCGGCTGCAGGAACGTTAAACTCCACTGTTGTTTCGTTATAAAATTGACGCCGAGCACTTTGGGCGATATCTATATTTCAATGTCGATGCGAGTAATGGAGCATCGGCTGACACCCGAACATTGAATCAAATGTTGAAATGTTCAAAAGCCGGATGATGCGCTGTACACTATACAACGAGGGTGCCCCACAAAAGCTTATCGCGCACGTAAAGCGCATTGCTATTCACGTGGTGCGTTGAAACCGTCTCTCTTTCGGCAGATGTCCCCCATAGCAGTCGTGTCCACGCTGGTGCTGATGATGACTCTCAGCGGTGTCGGGCTTGGACATGACGCCGCAGTCGGCACGGTGGACCTCCAACAGGACCTGTTCCTCGAGGAGGAGGGACCTGAGCTCGACAGGGAGAAACGGCAGGCGGACTTCAGTGTGAGATCGAGTGACTTTCGCTTACGGCATGTTGGCCCTAATGGACACCTTGCGACCTTTAAATAAATCCAGCGACATTGCTGTATCGAGGCACATTTGTCAGGTGGAAAAACCTGAATTAGTATGAATGCCTTTTAGCTGCATCTATGACCGCCCAGCGGTACGCAGAAGGTCTCAGGTAGAGGGAACAGCTTGTACATAAAATAGCACTTGAAACAGCCTGCGAAATATCCTGTCCATACTGTTGTCGGATACTCATTGCACATACCCTGGCAGCGTTCGAGTGCAGTACATGCAAAAGGCAGGCGGGTAGTATTCACTCTCACTTCGTGTTCGCTCTCACCACCCCAACGTTTGCCCTCGGGTGGCAGCTCCTAGCGGTTGGCTGACCTCTGCCCGCACAGGACCCGAAGGACGATCTGCGACGCGAGTGCCTGGCGAAGTCGCGGCGCGCCTGCTGCCCGCTGCTGCAGAAGGACGCCGTCAAGTTCGCCACCTGCGTGAAGGAGTACGGCTGGGCCAACAGGAACCAGCGGGAGCTGCCTGGCTGCCCCGGCTACCCCCGTTGTCCGGGGTTCAACAGGGGGTGATGGTCGGCGGTGGCGGGAGAGCCGGGAGTATGCCGAAGCAGCGCCGACGGCTTCGAGATGATCGGTGATGGCTTGTCGATTTTGTCACACCCATGCGGCGGTGGCTGTGTGTTTCAGCGTCAATGCATACAGTAGACGCCAGTGTAGAACTGTGTGCAAACTTTTTGTTCCAGCTCAGTTGCTCTGTCCCGTTTGCTACGCACACAGCATCACATGAAAAGAGTGGATGAGTTTTGACAGTTTCCATACCAAACGATAAACAATTCAGTGAGGCAATAAACAATGACTGGAGTGTAATATCAGACGTGTTTGCCGCAGGATTTTGATCATGGATACAAGCCAAGGGATAAGCGATAGTCTGGCCGGCATGGCGCTAGGGGAAAACCAGAAAAACTACACCCGCTCGCTCATTTTTAGACGACTTCAGCCATGGTGCAAACCATATCTATCGACATCACGTGATCCTGATAGTATACCTCTGTTTTCATTATCATCACCATCGTGAGTACCAAATTAGTGTATCGCTATTACCTATATTCCTATTATGAGGCGTTGCACATCAGTTCAGAATATGCCATTCGCTCTTTATCCATTATATTTTGCTGTTTGTGAGTTACCAATGGATCTTTCGTTCGCATTCTGTTGGTGGACGAAGTGAAGGGGCAAATCGCAAATTTAAGACAGCAGCATCAGCCCTTTTCCTCGGAAAAACCAGGAGAATGGAGATATAGTTAGGTTAATATTTCGGCAACATGCCTTTATCGAAACAAAAGTAAATTGTTTCGATATATGCACGTTGCCGAAATGTCAACCTATTTTTATCTCCATTCTCCTGGATTTGCCGAGGAATAAGGGTAATACTACTGTCTTATCCATGTGAATAATGTTACTCGCTAGTGCACTGAACAACTCAAGTAAATCGTATATATTTTTGAACTAGCCGAATGACAGCCCTTAGTAATATTCTATTAGTAGTATACAATTCTATTAGTAATATACAAATTCTAACAGTAACAAACAAGGTGTATTGTGCGATGCATTTTCTCGGTACTCAGGCTGTGAAGGACCGCATTGTACGGTCGCTTTACAGTAGCTGCTATTTCCTTTGACAGGCGCTGGAAATGAGGACTTCATCAGGGACTTAAACCACTTACATCTGAAAGCCATGTCAAAATGCTACATACCAACTGAGCTAATGAAGGGCCGAGATTTCCGTGCCTTTCTGCTGGTATTGGGGTGCCCGTGAGAAATCTGCTCGCACAACGCAGTCCATTGCAGATGGAGCCTAGGGGAAAACTCGCGATGCATAACCTTCCCGTCTGTAAGCCCTTGAGAAGCGATCTGTGTTAAGAACGATGCCATCTCATACAGCCCACGTGACACTACATCATTTAATCAGTCCGCTTTCGATTCAGGATGATAATCACAAAGGCACAAAGAAACAAAATTATGCTGGAACTTTCTGAAGCGAAAAGGATGGTTAGTAAAGCTGATAGCGCCCAATGCTGGTAATCACGTTTTGTCATCCAAATTGTTGCCCAGAAATGCTGCGAACCCAAACCTCTGTTGGTGGAGCATTCCCTTGGTAGCTTGTAACGTTTGTAAGTTATCGTAATGCACCATGCAAAGAAAAGCAGGCATCCCCATTATATCATACATTTTAAAACGTCGTGACATTCATTCCTTTTCCAACGAGCACATTGGTCATGCCAGCAGAGAGAGAGGAATGCTGGAGCATGACAACAAGAACGACAGCATATTCCGGGTGTGCTGCCATCTATAATGTGTGCTACCAGTCTAACAATTATAAAGATATACGTTGTCCCAGACGGCGCCTAAGATCGCTAAGGGATATTTGGTTTGTGAGTGCAGGGTAGATTTTGCGTCTTTCTAGCAGGATTTGAACCAATCATCATCTGTTTACGTCTACGCAACGATTGAGGCTCAAATGGCTTAAATATGCGAAACAAGGCTCATTTTCGAGGGAACAGCATCATCTTATGGGAGGTAAAATTTCCGCTATTTCAAGTTGGTGGTTCCTGTAATTGCTCTCACTCTCTCTCCCTTTCTCTCTCTCTCTCTCTCTCTCTCTCTCTCCCTCTCTCTCTCTCTCTCTCTCTCTCTCTCTCCTCCTCTCTCTCTCTCTCTCTCTCTCTCTCTCTCTCTCTCTCTCCTCTCTCTCTCTCTCCCGATATATATATATATATATATATATATATATATATATATATATATATATATATACGGTGGCAGTATAGTGTATGTATACATACAAGTGTCAGTTCTTCCAAAAACTTGCAATGGCTTGTTGTTTATGTAAGCGAAAAATCACCGAGCTCCAGAGACAAAAGCACCCCATTCCTGCTTCTTATCCAAGAGTTTTACACTAGATATCGGGAAATTTCGCAAAGGATTTAGTCCAGACTCACCGAACCTGAGATACACAATTGATATGGGGCTTCTTCGGAAATTTAGCTACGTGCTTGGTCACGTACACAGCTACTTCCCACTGCCCGTCGTGAGTCTTCGGTATTGGTACAACATGCTCTTACGTTTGATCGCTCGCACCTTGAGTACTAAGTCTGAAAACTCACAGATCAAATTCTGTGACAGTCACATGACATTTGCAACGCAAAAATCAGGTGGGATAGTTGTCTAAATCTTGCACCGGATGCTTCCAGTGACGTCACACGCTAGAATTGATATCTCACTATAAGCTGCAATATAGATGAGTTGCCAATGACTTTGACTGCAAGGAGCGGAGAAAAATTGTTCAGAACATGTATTTGTCTTCCCTTCTTATCATGTTCACACAATCATGGCTGGAAATCCTGTGGAAGTCCGTCGGGCGGGGGGGGGGGGGGGGGGGAGGAGACAGATCCCCGGGCCCTGAAAATCCAGAAATGTGGAGATCCGGAGAGTCTTTTGGGAAGCCCTTCTTGGCTCGCACGGCGCAGACAACAAAGCTACAAAGGCATCTCTTACCAGAATAGAAGTGGATACAGCAACAAGTGACTCCCCTAAATGTTCAGTAGGCCTCATCTGACAACTCCGGGCACCTCTGGCCATTCATTGGGTTCTTGCTGGCCACACAAAGTCATCAAACACGTCTGCATTAGCTTTAGAACTAAATGGTTTCGTTGTTTTTTGGTGTTTGACTTTATGAGCAATCTAAATGACAGCACGGGTTTTTGGCCGAATTTCCGTGCGTGAAGACAGCGAACAAGTCAATGGCTTTCGATTACGCACTGCGCACTCGCCTGATGGAAAACTAGGACAACATAGCATAGAAACTCAATATTTTGAAAACTGACGGCAAACGTTTGCAGTGTCAGCGCACGTATGATGGTATGTCAAGTGATAAGCGCGAGAATGATCAGTGCAGTGACCCAGGACAGGGCTCGCTTACGCCAGTATTTTCCTCCCGTTCACTGATAGCGGTTAAATCTGATATGAGCGACTGCTTGAATTGCTATGTGTGCTGAGCGCGACCAATTCATTTTTTGCGCCATTAAAAAAAAACCAAAAACAGCCCGACCTGCAGCTGTTTGTTCGCACTTAGGAGCCGCTAGCGCATGGTTTATAAAGACTAGTTGCATAAAACGCTCAGTAGCCCGCACAAAATCAACATTTGGCTCATTGAGGGCGCGCGGGAGCAGTCAACATTTCCATTTTCCCGTCAGTTTCATCAATGCAGGTATTCACCCACCACTAACTGTTCGGGTTTAAGGCATGATCACAGATAGCAGATAGCTGTGGCGTGACGAGCACGCCGCCAGTCACATGCCGTTTTGCTCCGGCAGCTTTGGTGATCTGCCAAAAGTACATATGTGGTTCGCCCACCGCAGCAGACAAGCTTTTTGTCAAACGAAACGTTAGTAGTTTTCACATTCCACACTTTAGAGTATATATGACAGGTGTAGTGTGACGCTGCACCACCGCTTGCAAGATATTGTGAGACCCAGTGTTCGCATCGTCTACTGTTCTAACCACCGCCAGCATATTTCACCACTTTTATAACATCTTTAGTGACCAACAGTCGAAGACCTAGTTTCTGGTTGTGCAATTGCCTCGATGCATCGTGCACTGCAGCGCCCTCGCTCCCCTAAGGCGCCGCACGGCGGGACTGCACTAGGACGGGCGCACCGGCTCTAACACCGCTGTGGCCGCCGTCGGCCTGCTGCCGCTGACCGGGTGCGCGCGTGGTGCTGACACGGCAGGCTTCACTTATCGGACTGCTACTGCGTGCCAAAGTACTCGACATGTCATCAAGGAGTCCATTAACACTGGTAGTAGTTTAGTAGTTTCCGGACCGTGTCGCGCGTGTGGGTTGAAGTGTCGAGATTGGCATGTAGTGTTGTTTTTTTTGGCGATGCACCTCTGAATGTGCTTCTATATTCGCGGCTTGTGTATAAGAACTCTTAGTCTGAAAAGCTTTGGCAGAATGTCTGAATGAAATGCCTCATGACAATGGCAAACTACCATCCGGCTTAAAGCAAACAAAGCCGCTTATTTGCTGGAAATTAGAAACCTTATTTTTGTAATTGCGGATACTATGTTTCTTATATCGTGGCTCCGTTGTTCCATGGGTACACTACAAAACTTATCAACACATAGCAATTAAGACAGTTTATCGATCAACAACCCGATGAAAGCCGACGTACTTATTACGACTTACCCCCTTAAGACCAAACGCCTTGGAACCCCCCTCCGAATGACTCGTCACGGACGGGTCAGGTCAAGGCCATGTGAGGTCAACCAGACAGCACAGACGTTAGTGCGTCGATGAGAAATCATTGGCACGCAAAAGCGAGAAAGACTTGTGCGTGACATTGTAAATGCATGTCGCCACTTAAAGTGGCGATAGAAACACACATACTACACCCGCCGAGCGATCATTTGTTAACTTTATCTTCCATCTAGCGCCACCTACTGAGATAAAACACACCTTATGCAGAGCTGTATATCAGGTGGAGGTACAAGCGGTGCGTGCGGGCACGATAAAGTAACATCATGGACCTGGGTAGGGTGGGGGATGAGCGGGGATGGATGGGGCATCCGACACATGTCGGGCAGGTAGTCGTCAACTATGCTGATGTACCAGTATCACAAGGACGATTGCTCCGGCTCAAACTATGTACCTGTATGTGGGTGTGTTCTATCGTGACGGAACGAAATACGCATTACAGGCATTAAAACACGCAACACTAAGCCTCACCGCTAACATTTGGAGACCCTGTTTGATTTGTTTCCGATCGGTTTGGAAGTTTGTTTTAAGCCTTTTTTTGGGTCTTTCC